TGTATTTCTTTCTGAGACTAAGCTGAAGATACGTAATTGACCTACTTCTTAATAGAGCGTAACCTAGAATCCGACATCTTTTGCAAAATGAATCTTGTACTTTAATGACAGCCAGATGTTGCTTTGAACTGCCTGACCACTTAGGAAGTATGCACCAGAGGAAAACATGGTAGAATTAAGATGGCATTATAAAAACATCTGGTTAAACATGACAGATTGTGTTTATAGCCACTCCCTCTCAAAACCCCTAAATGAGCAGTAAGGGATAAAAACGGGAGAAACCCACAAGGACAAATAGAACCATAGGAGCAAACAGCAGACAAGAGGCATCAACGTAATTTTGGAAATAAGTGGATGTGCGGTTAGTCCCCCAAGCAGGTGGAGAAAGCTGATATCTAAGTGCCTGCAGAGAAGGCAGACAGGCAAGCCAGTTTGCCCAACCACAGGGCTATAGAAATTTCAGGAATGGGAAGGACCAGGCACCTGTGTAGGTAGGGATGAGGGGGAGAGCTGAAGGAGGTTGCTTGACAGTCTGTATAAAGAGCAAAACACAGGTCTCCTCCCAGACCCCACAAAGCCAGGTGACTGTCTCAGTCTCATTCTGGTAGAAGACAAGAAGCTTACTCTGAAGAAATACAACCAGAGAAGCTCTGGGCTTTAGGGGACACCAGGCACCGTGGAGGAGAGGGATCAGACATCATACTGAACCCAAGGAGAGGAAGTGAAAGTCTGGATACTAAAGATTCCCCCCAATGCTCCTCTGCTCAGAGTTCTGGGAGCAAAGAGGAAAAACACTGACATCCTGGGGTGCCCCACAGATGGTCCCCACCTAATTACCCTATGTAATGAAGCCCCCCCATTCCTAAAACACATACACAGAGCTTTCAAGTGGCATTCAGTAATAGACAGCCAAGGATCCCAGATTTGAGGAAGGCCTCTAGCACAAAAGGCTGAGACCAAGACAAAAGGGAGAAGAGGGGATTTAGAAGTAACATACAGGGGCGCCTGGGTGGCTCAGTCGGTTAAGCGTCTGCCTTCAGCTCAGGTCATGATCCCTGGGTCCTGGGATCGAGCCCCGCGTCGGGCTCCCTGCTCAGCGGGAAGCCTGCTTCTCCCTCTCCCACGCCCTCTGCTTGTGTTCCCTCTCTCGCTGTGTCTCTCTCTGTCAAATAAATAAATAATATCTTTAAAAAAAAAAAAAGTAACATACAATGCAGGGAGCATTGTAAAACCATGATTCATCAGAGAGGAAGGATGAGATGTTGCTTTTGTTAAGAGCAGTGTGCTTTTTTTATTTTTATTTTTTTTTAAAGAGTTTATTTATTTGACAGAGAGAGAGATAGCGAGAGCAGGAACACAAGCAGGGGGAGTGGGAGAGGGAGACGCAGGCTTCCTGCCAAGCAGGGAGCCCGATGTGGGACTCGATCCCAGGACCCTGGGATCATGACCTGAGCCGAAGGCAGACGCTTAACGACTGAGCCACCCAGGCGCCCGAGCAGTGTGCTTTTAAAAGAAATATTTGGGGGCGCCTGGGTGGCTTAGTCAATAAAGCATCTGACTTCAGCTCAGGTCGTGATCTCGGGGTCCTGGGATCGAGTCCTGCATTGGGCTCCATGCTCAGCGGGGAGTCTGCTTCTCCCTCTCCCACTCCTTCTGCCGATCCCTCTGCCCTCCCTACTCATGCTCTCTCTTTCTCAAATAAATAAATAAAATCGAAGGAAGGAAGGAAAGGCAAAGGGATAGGGAAAGGGAAAGGAAAGGAATGGAATTTGGAGAACAAGGATGAGTCTTGAAAATGGAAAACATGACAGCCAAAATGAAAGATTCAGTATCGGGCTTGGAAGATGAAGGTGAAAACGTTCATTCATTCAGCAGATACGTTCAAGTGGCTGCTATGTCCTTGGCATTGTTCTAGACGGTGGAGTTTCATCAGTGAGTAAAAGAGACAAAGAGCCCTTGGCCTGCTGGAGCTGAAATGCTGCCAGAGGAGAGCATAAACAATGCAGTAGCATGTGAGTTACATGCTGTGTTGTAGTATCAAGTGCTAGAGGCAGGAATAAAGCTAGAGCATGGTAAGGAGCACGGAGAGTGCCAGGTGGGGAAGATGGAAACAAGTTGAATTTTAAAGGGGATGGTCAGGGCCAGTCTCATTGGGAAGGGGACCACTGAGCAAGGACGCAGAGAGAGAGTGAAGAAGTTGGCCATGTGATATCTATCTGGCGGGAGATCATTCCAGGCAGAGGGAGCAGCCTGGAGTCCAGAAGGTAGCTGGAGTGAGCAGGGGAGGTGACTGCCCCAGAGAACGTGGGCCTTTGTAGGTTAGTGCGGGGGTTCTGGCTGTTACTCAGGGAGATGAGAGCGGTGGCAAAGTTTGAAGCAGAGAAGTAACGTGAGCTGATTTTGGCCTTAAAAGGATCACTCTGGCCACTGTACTGGCAGAACTGACTACAGGGGTAAAGGTACACAAGAGAGAAATCGGACTCACTCAACAGGAAGGGTGTGCACACTGCTCTCTGATGGTCTCTTTTTGTAGCTTGGCTGTTCCCTCTGAGTCAGCCTCTCTGTTGGCCTCTGTTCTTTCTTCTTCCTAAGAAACGACTTGCAGGCCCTTTCCTCTGTCAGTCTACCCTCTGCTTTATGGCTCCTGCTTAACTTTCCCTCCCAGATCTCATTGTGTTGCCTTCAGTCTTCAGCATCCACTCTCTTGCGTCATATCCTAAAACATAATATCTGGTTGGTTCCTCTTTATTTATTTATTTATTTATTTATTTGACAGAGAGAGAGATAGCGAGAGCAAGAACACAAGCAGGGGGAGTGGGAGAGGGAGAAGCAGGCTTCCTGCAGAGCAGGGAGCCCGATGCGGGACTCGATCCCAGGACCCTGGGATCATGACCTGAGCCGAAGGCAGATGCTTAATGACTGAGCCACCCAGGCGCCCTGGTTGGTTCCTCTTTAATGTTAATATTAAAATATTGTTTTATTTTGCTATTGAATATAACATTTAATTCTCTGTTTTCTGACATCCCATCATCAGGCAAAGTCCTCCACAGACAGACGCTTTATATGACTCTTGAAAAACCCAACAGTTTAAGCTGCTTTAAACAAAGAGGGAAGTGGAAAAATCAGTCTTATACCTTAAATTCCAACCTGCAGACCCTTGGTGGAAAAATCAACAACAATCCTCCCCTACACAGACTCACCAACTCATGGGAGCATATCTGTTTAAACCAAATATGCTTAGATTATAAGGAAAAAATACATGAATAATTTTTTGCATGCATTTTCCTCTGTAGTTTTTCAATGCTACTTTTTCTCTGATGTTGAAAAATTAAAGCCTAAGGGATGTCTGACAAAGCTGATAATGTAACTGCAAACTCACAGAAATTCCTTTCCCCCAAATTTGCTGAAATTAACAAAAATGTAAAAATGACAAAGAACCCATGAACCCTGAAACCAAAAAAAAGAAAAATCGCAACTTCATACCATAAACTGAGAAGTGTCACCCAGAAAAAGAAAAATTGGACCAAATTGAACAAAGGTGCTAAAAAAATCAATATAGCCTTCAAAGAAAAGAATGGAACATGGAGACGTACAAGGAGGGAATTCTGAGACGTCTCATTGCTTTTGATGGTGTTGGCATCAAGTATAAAGATATGTCCGGGGGAAGGCCTGGAAGAGCCCACACCTCTACTGGGAACCCTTTCTTCCATCAAGAAGACATTTTCCCTCAGGCAAGAAGAGTCAAGAAGGCTTACCATCTTTCCTGCCTCTGATATGTCAATAAGTGGGCAAGAAATAGGGGAAGCATCTGCTAGGAATAATATTAGAGCCGAATCAAGAAAAAGCTCCTCAACACATGGAAAAAATATCTGTCCTCAACCAAACCAGAAGACTGTAAGACACCTATTAAGGAGGTAGCTTGATAGCAGCCACCTAAAGCCCCAGCTCTCTTTTCATTCCTCTTGAGCAATGGAGAGACCAGATAAAGCATATACATAATGGACATCTAGTCCATATGATAGATGGAAGAATAAAACAATACCCAGTCCAACACTGTTTGGGGGCAGTTAGTAGGCTGAGAAAGAATGGCTCGCATTCATTAAAGAGTTTCCAGGGGTGTTTGAGTGGTTTAGTCGGTTAAGTGTCCAACTCTTGATTTTGGCTCAGGTCATGATCTCAGGGTCATGAGATCAAGCCCCACACTGGGCTCTGCACTCATAGTCTGCTTGAGATTCTCCCTCTCCCTCTCCCTCCCGCTCTTGTGTGCTCGTGCATGCTCTCTCTCTCTCAGATAGATAAATCTTTAAAACAGAAAGTTTCTGGAACACTTGGACACGTGACTGAGGCAAAAAAAAAAATCTGCCCATACAGGGGCGCCTGGGTGGCTCAGTCAGTTAAGCGTCCAACTCTTGATTTCAGCTCAGGTCATGCATGCATGCACACACTCTCTCTCAAATAAATGAATAAATCTTAAAAAAAAAAAAAAAGAAATGTTAAACATAAAAACCTGCTCCTTTAGAAACCCTTACTTATGAAATGCTTTTTTCCCCCAAATTACTGAAGAATTAAACCAAAAACATTTTAATGAGAAATTCTGTGAACACTTCTTGAAAATTAAGGATTGATTTTCTATACAGGTGTGGCTCCAGGGAGTCTTAATTTCCTTTCTCTTCAAAAAAAAAGAAAACAAACAGTATGAAACTTTACAAATCTGTTTTGTTTAAGAAATTGAATCACAGACTTTCACCCTGTAATTGTATTCTTTGGGTTTTTTCAAGATGCTAAAGAAGGGACCTTTATTTTAACACTTGGGTGGAGGCGTAACAGAGCCATCTGCATGATGGATTTGGCGACGGGGAAGAGAGCCATTTTGGCTAAAAAGGGTTGCTGTACGGACGCCACATGCAGAAACAAGTTTTCATTGCCTCACGGTCTTTATATATTCTGTTTATATGTGAGCACTAGGTTCCCATCGCAAACTGCTCACATGTCACACATTTCCCTTACATATCAAGGTTTTCCTTGACTCATTAGTTCCCCTTTGCGGTCCCTTGGTGACCTCCTCATGTGTCCCACGCAAACAGATCTATCCTTGTGGTGCAGCAGGTTGAAAAAAGGAGCACATCACAAGCCCGTGATGCCAGTTTAGGAGTCTGCTTAAAGAAACCCTAAAATGCCGGGATAAAAGAGGCATTGTACCAGTTTTTCTGAGAAATTGGTGACACAGGTGGAGATTTAAGAGGAAATACAAGAAACCCGAGGGAGTCTGGAGCCCCCATACTGTGGGCTTTGAACTAGAGGTGGAAAATCTCGGTCTCGGGAGGCCAGAAACAGGGAGGGAGCTGAATACCAACAACCTGAGAATTGGACTGGTTATCTAAGTAGCCGCAGTAAATATCAACTGGAACACGACGGTGGTGCATCCAAGGAGTTTGTTGAAGAAAGCAGTGCGAGTAGTTTGGGGTCTTGGAGATTTTAGTAGCAGAAAGGAAGAGAAAGGGGTTTATGCTGGAAATATTGTAGAAGTAAGAGTAAGTTGTGGGGGTGGAGGACACGTACAGGGGAAGATCCAAGAATGAAGTGAAGATTATACCAAATTTCTTTTTACTTGAGAGATTGAGAAGTACAGGAATCTGGGCAAAGGATCCCGAAGGAAAAGTAGAAGTAAGTATCTCTGACTTTACCATGCACGGAGACGTTTATATATTGTCTGACTGATTTCTAAGCACTGAAAAAATGTAAACAAAGATTCATATGCTATCAGTCATCTGTTTTTCCCTTTCCCCAGGATTACATCTAAGTTTGGGGGAAATTTACCTAGCTCCTGGGGAGAGGGGCTGCACAGGCTGTGTATAAGTCCGTTTGTGAATCCAACGTGACGGTGCAGTAGTGACCAGTGGTGTAATCTGTGTAAAGCCAGGTTTCATTCAAGAACTGTAGATGTTGATGGCTCTTGGTTCTGCCTCATCTTGCTTCCTTTCCACATCCTTCAGATATTTCTGCAGAGACATGTGCATTTTGGCTTTCTTCTCTTCATGACCATACAGTTAAAACAGGACTCTGCTTCCGAGTCAGCACACAGCCCCGTGCACACCAGAACAGCCCGACCGCTGAGGCGAATGACAGCGTGACTCCTGCCGCCATCTGTTGGTGGCAGGCAGAATCAACGTGCTTTGTCTCTGCCTGATTTTGTGGACAACACGCAGTTCCCCCACTCTCCTCCCCCCGCCACCCCCTTGGTAGTTTCTAAGCAGAGGATCTTATACAATTGCAAAGTCATATGCCACTGACTCAGCCAGCAACACTTGTTCTTTTCTTTCTCTATTGTGAAGGTGTGGCGAGGCACGCTGGCCCGCATGCGCTACAAGAGAACCAAGGCAGCTCTGACAATTATCAGATATTACCGGCATTACAAAGTGAAATCGTACATTCATGAGGTTGCCAGACGCTTCCACGGCATCAAGACCATGAAGGACTACGGCAAGCACGTGAAGTGGCCAACCCCACCTAAAGTTCTCCGCCGTTTCGAGGAGGCCGTACAGGCCATTTTTAATAGGTAAGGAAGAGCCTGTTGGCATGAGCCGCATCTGTTTATGGGAGCACATGTAATATATAAAGCCCCAGATCTGAGGCGGTGACATTGGCTCAGCTGTTTGCCACTACGACTTTTACCTCAGGTCTTCAGGTCTGTAGATTTCACTCTCAAGGGGCATCTGTTTATGTCTCAGAACAGTGAGACTTTATTTATTAACACATGGGACCGTGCATTTACTCTTCCTGTGGCGGTGGACAACAGTGCGCCACAAAGCCCGAATCACACCACGGTTAGGACAAGCTGTTAGCCTGCCGTCTCTTTTATTAGCAAATAATAACTACATATTAAAATCACCACACGTAACTCAAACTGGAAAGTGTGTTAATCCTTTCAGGGCAGCACTTCTCTATCCTGGTTATGAAACCTACCAAAGAGTTTATGAGACATACCAACGCCCACGTCCTGCCTCCGGAAAGTCCTGTTTAACGGAACCCGGGAGTGGGGCCCAAACAAAAGTCCTTTCTAAAGTTTCCCAGGTGATTTTTTTTTTAAAGCTTTATTTATTTGAGAGAGAGAGACAGCACAAGCAGGAGGGGCAGAGGGAGAGGGAAAGATTCTCAAGCAGACTCCACACTGAGGGCAAAGCCCCGCACAGGGCTCGATCTCATGACCCCTAGATCACGACCTGAAGCTGAAACCAGGAGTTGGATGCTTAACCGACTGTGCTACCCAGGCGCCCCCCAGATGATTTTAAAGTGTGAGAGGGAAAACAATTGTTTTAGAGCAGGCTTTTTTTTTTTTAACATAAATAAATAAACACCCATGTAAAATCTGGTATCTTTCCAGCTGATCTCATTTTTTATAAACTAACTTGAATCTGAGTTTGTAGTTATTCACAGCCCCTTATCCCTCATTATTTGTGCTTGTTTGTTGCTGGTGTGCACCAGATACATTTAGCTGTGTCTTAGACACAGCCATCCAGTCACATAAACGAAGCTAACAGTTCTCAAATGTGGCCATTTGGCAGTGTGGTATTCCACAAAGAACACTATGAAATAATTGGCATACTGAATGCAAAAGAACTAATTTATAATTCTGTGCTAAATCAGATTTTATCTTCCTTTAGAGTTAGCTCTGTATAATTGGTGGCAGATATCAAAAGATAAATAAAAATGCATAGGAAGAAAATTCTTTAATATATATCCCATTTGCTTTTTGTAAAAACAAAAGAAACGATATCATAAAAAGAAGAGCTCAGTAAGGAATTATTGAAAGCAAAATTACCTCAGTTTTCAGATCTAATACTATAAATATTCATTGTAAATCCTGGCAGACTTTTTTAATGCACAGGTAAGTGTTTTTCATGAATGTTATCATCTGTAACCTGAATTTTGACTTAATTTAAAAAGTAATTAAGCTATGCATGAATACACATGCTTATTGTGGTTTTTTGTAAAGTGAAATAATATAGAAATATATGAGATATAAAATTGAAATCCTTCACACCTCCTCTTGTCTCCCCCGTTTTATTTCCTTGCCCTGAGATAATCACTCATTAACAGTTTGTACCCTTCTATGTCTGTGTCTGTGCATTTTCAAGCACACGCCCACATGTAAGAGACAGCATGATATAGTGGTTAAGAACACAGATCCTGGAGCCTGGGTTTATATTCTCTCTGCTGCTGCCTGGTTGTCTAACCTCGGGCACATTAGATAATCTCTTTGAGCCTCAGTTACCGTATCTGTAAAAGGGCCATAACAGTAGTACCTGCTCGTAGGGTTGTTGGAAAGATTATGAGTAAATATATATGTAAAGATTGTACCTGACACGTAATAAACACTGTAGAAATGTTGGGTCATAGTAAGAATGTGTATGCATGCACAGTCACCAGTCACATATCATTTGGGCTCTTCTTCCTCTCTTTTTTACACATGCAGGCTTATAGGATGACTTGAAAATGTTTTGGAGACCTGTCCATGGCAATAAGGAAAGATCCATGTGGTACTTTTTTTTTTTTAAAGATTTTATTTATTTATTTGACAGAGACACAGCAAGAGCAGGAACACAAGCAGGGGGAGTGGGAGAGGGAGAAGCAGGCTCCCCTGCGGAGCAGGGTGCCCGATGTGGGGCTCAATCCCAGGACCGTGGGATCATGACCTGAGCCGAAGGCAGACGCTTAACCTACTGAGCCACCCAGGCGCCCCTCCATGTAGTACTTTTAATGGCCACAAGGAATTACTGATTTTGTTGTGGCCTGTATAGTCTTTTTTTTAGATTTTGATGGTTTTATAGATGGCCTAGAATTGATGAATTTTTGCAAAATTCAGTTTATTCATTCAGCACATATTCATGCAAGGCTAGCTGTGTCGTGGGCACTGGCCTGGGTTCCAGGGATATGGTGACAGATAAGAAGATGGGAAGACAGTCCAGCCTTCTCAGGGCTTCAGGTGTACGAGCATTTTGAAAATAATGCATCTGCTCCGCTTGCTGACTTTGCACGCACGTGTGCATACACACATATGCACACATGCGCACACGCACTCTGAATGAATCCTGCCAGTTGTGTTAATCTCATCCAAAGGCAAACTTTTTCTGTTAAGGGCCCGGTAGTAAATATCATAGGCTTTATGGGCTACATACGGTCTTTGTCACATACTTTGCTTTGTTTTGCTCTGGTTTTGTCAAACATGTAAAAAACTTCTTAGCTCGTGAGCGGCACAAAACCAGGCCATGGGCTGAACTTGGCACAGACTATGGTTTACCAACCTCCGATTTAGTCACTGTATCATACTTAATTTATTCTTCACTTTTTTAATCTGTGGACTACTGAGAGAAGTGCACTAAAGGACTCCACTGTGATTGTGGGCTTTTGTTTTTTTGGTTTTTCTAAAATCTCAACGTTAATCATGGTTAAGCTCGCTCCTATTCTTCCCAGTAATTCTTTTCCATTCTGGGAAGGCTGGGAGCCTTCCTCATGTTCATCTTTGTCCCCCTTTTCATGTTGTCGAGGCTGGTGATTTTTATGCCGCCATAAAAATGGTGTTGGGGGCTACAGGCGTTTATAGATGGTGGTTTTCTTGAGCAGGGTCAGAAGCCTGTGTGGCTCTCTCTGTGGTTATATAGGTCAGGTCCCAGATGCCCTGTGTGCCCCTGCAGTCTGGAGTCAGTCAGGTACGGACCTGGGCCACGGTGGGCAGTAAAGAAGGGACAGACAGACTGGGCACCTGGGCTGAAAACAGACCAGCAGACAGCAAAGACTGCCTCCCCCACTCCCAGGGAATAAAATTTGAGACCCAAGGACTAATTGGGGCAGTTGCTCACCAAGCCACTTAGTGTTGTGGGATGTATGTGCCTGTCACCAGTCACCTTGACGGTGACCACCAACTGCTTCCACCCTGTCATTCTTCCAGCGTCTTCTGGAATGACCTTAGGACAGCCTGTCCCATTGCAGTGTAAGTTGGCCACAGAAAGCAGAGAGGAGAATTTCTCCTGCTGAGCCTTTCCTGTTTCCACGGCTGTTGGTTTTGTATCCTGCTACCTCTGACTTCTGATGCTCTCCCCCACAGCGGGGGTCCCCATCTCACCATGGGCAGGCATTCTTTGTGCGGAGAGATCCCTGCCACCAGCCCCAGCTGCCTCAGGCCCAAGCACTCTCTGGGCCATTTCTGCCAAAGGGGTTCCTCTCCTTCCACCAAGTGGCCACTCTTCCGGCGGCGTGGTCCAGTCTACTTCGAATCTCCAAGAAAGACTTCCTGTCTTGCAGTTCACCAACACTGTTCCGGTTCTCTAGGGCTGCTACAGAGCTTTTCCTTCTTTGTATATTTATTTGGTTATTTCGGTGGGAATTTCAGAGAGAAAAACAAAACTTTAGGCTCAAGTCACCATCTTAAGCCAGAATACATCTCAGGAAAATCTTAGATGGAAGCAGTCTCACGTTCTGGGTGCGTGCCGAGGGGAGAGAGCACCACCTCTCCATGTTAGGTGTGTCTCACCTCATGCTCCGTGGAAGATCACTAGAGAACCACTGGCCTTGACGAGTGCATCTGCTGTAAAGAAGTTCTGGGTTTGTTTCCAGCCCCTGCTTCAGGCTCCTGTGGCAGAAAGGAGACATGAGTGCAAGGAAGGCTAGGACGGCCCTCACAGAATAAAAGCCCTGTGCTTGCTTTTCTCCATCAGGAATAGATTCTTTTTAGTGTATGCTTTCAGTTACTTGGACCCAACAGTCTTGGGGTCATCTTTACGTTCCCCCTTATTCTCTTGCTCCCGTGTCTAATTCATCAGCAAATCTACTGGCGTGTCCTTCAAAACGCATCCAGGGCCAGCACCTGTCTCTGCCTCCACCACTCCCTACCCGATCCCAGCCACCGACCTCTCCCGCATGCGTCACGGAAATAGCCTCCTCCCCACTTCAGTCTCCTCCACTCGGCAATCGGAAAGCTCCTGTAGGTCACGTCCCTTCCTTGTTCACAACCTCCCAGTGGCGTCTGGTCTCATCCAGAGGAAAGGCCAGAGTCCTTACAGTGGACTCTGTGGGTCTGCAGATCTGTCCCTGGGTCCCCATCTGGCCTCTCCTCCTGTGCCCCTCCCCTCCTGTTGCAGCCCCACCAGGCTCCTCCCTGGTCCTCCAACCCACCCAGCAAGCGCACACTTTAGAGCCCGTGCACCGCTCTGCTCTCTTCCTGGCGAGGACACTCTTGCTCAAATATCTGTGCACCTCCCTCACTTCCTGAAGGTTTCTGCTCCTATATCCTGATCAGTGGTGCCCCCGTGCCCAGACCTCCCTGTATAAATAACACCCACCCCCTGTTCCTGCCTGCCACCGCACTCCTGTCCTTTCCTTGCCTGATTTTCTCCATAGCACTGAGCACATCACACATACTGGTTGGGTTGGTTGTCTGTCCCTGCTTCTAGAAGGTAAGCACCTAGCAGAAAGGACCTAGATCCATTTGTCCACTGCTGGGCCTCCACTGCCTAGAACAGCATCTGGAGTTTAGTTAAGTGCCTAGAAATGCTCAGTGAGTGCCTCAGTGTTGGATGAAGAAAGGATTTTCTGTGCCCTGACTATAAATGTTATGAGAAAAACCCATGTATCATGAAGTTCTAGTTGTTTTCAAAACACACAAATGACAAAGCAAGTTATACAAAAATCTTTGGGGGCGCCTGGGTGGCTCAGTCATTAAGCGTCTGCCTTCAGCTCAGGTCATGATCCCAGGGTCCTGGGATCGAGTCCCCGCATCGGGCTCCCTGTTCAGCGGGAGGCCTGCTTCTCCCTCTCCCACTCCCCCTGCTTGTGCTCCCTCTCTCGCTGTCTCTCTCTGTCAAATAAATAAATAAGATCTTTAAAAAAAAAAGATTAAAAAAACTTTGTCTAAAAAACTATGTGTATTTTAACAAGTTCTGTGTATATTTTAGAGACCTTTCTTTTTTTAGGATAGCATGCAAGTACTTTGGTTTAAATTCTGCTTAATGCAGCCCATTTACTTGGGGTCACGAATGGGATTGGGTTTCTAAATCCTAATACAATTCATTTATTCACTTACAGATGGAGAGCATCCCAGCTCATCAAGAGCCTGCCCGCCTCCGACCTGCCCCAGGTCAGGGCCAAGGTTGCAGCCATGGAAATGCTGAAAGGTCAAAGGGCTGACCTTGGGCTCCAGAGAGCCTGGGAGGGCAACTATCTTGCTTCGGTACGTGCGGGAGAACTAAGTGGAATCTACTCCTGCTCCCTTTACAAAGAAAAGGAAGAATTTTTCTCCACAACTTTGTGGAAAGAATGAGACACGTACAGAAACTAAACTTCTATGGGCGATACTAAACTAAAAGATTTTGTTGCTTCTCACTGTGCAATGTTCGATGTTTCCCTTGCTTTACAAAGGGCTGTCTGTCACTCTGCACCATATGTAGTAGACATACTCCAAACCTAATTTTTGAGCATTTGAACCTTCCCTTGCATAAATCAGCAGCTATTTTTAATTACCACCTTTATATTAATTATTCCCAGAGCTACATTTCATCTTCCCTCCCATTCCGTATTTTAAAAATTTTATAGACCCTTTAGTGGCATAACACCCCTGCAGCAGCCCACCATCTGGGATGGGAGATAAAAGTATGTGTGTGAGACTGTCTGAGCAGGGTTATAAAGCCAGGCCACTGAAAAATTGCCTTTTCATCCAAAATGCTAAGCAGACTCATTTCATCATGTTTCCTTTTTTTTTTTTCAGAAGCCAGACACACCTCAGACCTCAGGCACTTTTGTCCCCGTTGCAAACGAACTGAAGCGGAAGGACAAATACATGAACATCCTCTTTTCCTGTCATGTCCGTAAGGTGAGGCAGGCTGGGGCAGACCCCCCGGGGAGGAAAAGGATGGATTCAGAGGACCTTACCATAGCTGTGACTGCAGTAAAACATGACAGTAGCTACAGTCCCAGCTCCACCGTCACCGAGCGCCCCCTGCCTGTGCTGGGGCGGGGGTGAGGTGGCTGAGGTGACTACGGCTTCAAGGGTAGGGTGTGGAGATTTTTGGTTTTAGGGGGGACCTCCCTGTGATCCGGGGTTGGTACTTTACTGCATGCGTGTCTTTCACAGCAGGTACTGGTCTACCTTGTAGTTCATGGTCATTTCGTACCTCTTATACGGGTTTGATTACAATTTTAAAGGTGAGGAGGGAGGGAGGAAGAACATAGTCTAGAAAAGGGAAGACAGAGCTTTTGGGTGGCGGGGGAGGGCGAGTTATACATGCTGTGAATCTAGTTGTTTATCTGAGGCAAGATGTGTGTGAGGACTCTTATTTGCCTTCAGATAATGTCCGCAGGGCAAGTAAAGTATGGAAGTTGGAGAGGGGAAGGCAGGGGACATGGTTGGTTTTTCAAAACTTTAAAATACTTCTTTTCACAAAATAGAGAGGAAATCGCAATAATTAATTTTAAAAAAGCCTTTTACAAAAATTAGGCAAATAAATTTCAAAATATTAATGAAATGGGTGAATTTAAGAAAAATATTTCTGGGATGCCTGGGTGGCTCAGTTGGTTAAGCATCTGACTCTTAATTTTGGCTCAGGTCGTGATCTCAGGGTCCTGGGATCAAGCCCCGCATTGGGCTCTACACTCAGTAGGGAGTCTGCTTGGGATTGTCTCTCTCCCTGTCCCTCTGCACCTCCTGCTCCTGTGCTCAGTCTCTCTCTCTCTCTAAGATAAATACATAAATCTTAAAAAATGTATTTCCTAGATTGACCCAGAAGAAATATTGACATAAATCTGCCAGTATCCAAAGGAGGAATGAAGAAAATGATCAAAGAGTTACCTCATAACAAAAGCCCAGGTGTGGGTGACTTGAGTTGTTTTGTTTCAAATCTTGAAAGAGTACACAATCACAGTATTATTCAGATCAAAATAATGAAGTATTATTTCTCAACTGTAAATTTGGCAAACTTTAAGATGTTGATAACCAGTGTTTGCACGAATTTAAGGAAACGCTATTGATAAGATACAGTCCTTCTGAGTGAATAGTTTGGCAATAGCTATCAAAATTTTAAATGCCCAGACCACTTAATCTAGGAATTCCACAACTCAGGATTTATCCTATGATATATTCACACATACATCCAAAGATACAGTTTTGTACATTGTAATGGCCAAAAAACTGGAAAAAGATATGCACTAATATATGATGAGATTAATAAATGTGTTTGTGCACAGTAGAATACAGTGTATCTATAAAATGAACAAAAAGAGGATATATGTTAAAAAAAAAAACTAAAAGGACAAAATCTATGAAATAATGGTTTTCAGTCACTGCACATCAAGATAAGAGAAACAGACAAGTGAGCCCTACAGTCAGCTGGTTTCCCTCCTTGAGAAACTTTCTAGTCTGTGGCATGAGTGGAGGAGCCCAGTGGAGCTTAGTGGACTCCCTTACAGAAACAAGAGAGCTGAGCTGGGAAACACCTGGGCAGGTAGAGTTTGCAGAGTAGAGTGCCAGAGAAGAGCGAGCTTCACAGAGGGACCTCTAGATAGCTTCAGGGGGTCCTCAGCACGTATTCGCCTGAGCACTGCTCAACATGTGCGTGTGAGGAAACTACCCAAGGCTAGAGCAAGAACCACCCCAAAGGGTAGGCGGCAACAATGGCCAGTACTCACAAAGGGTTGCAGATAGTCCCTGCTCCCACCAGCCATTGGAAGACCTCGTGATTCATGGGATACCAGGTAGAGTACGGACAGGAATCTTGGCCTTGGTCATGGGGAGGAATTAGCCCTTGACTAAACACTGCCCTAATCCCACCCAACAAATCCTAAAAACATGACCCAAAAGAATCAGACTGTTTCCAAGTAACCTAACAGTGTCCCAGAACAAAGCTCAAAACTATTCCTAAGAATACAAACTCACCAACACCCAAAAGATAAGAATCAGAATGTGTGACATTGGATCCAAAATTACCAGGCCTACAAAACAGCAAGAGACTCTAACTTATAATGAGAAGAAAAGTCAGTCATTCAAAATGATCCAGGACTGATGTAGATTATAGAATTAAAAGACAAAGTCATTAAAATAATTGTTATGCATATGGCATATGTTATGGATAGAGGTGGAAAACACAGCTTCTGAGATTTTTTTTAATATACTTCATGAGATTAAAAGCAGTTTAGACGTTGCAGAAGAAAGATTAGTAAACTTGAAGAAAGAGCAATCAAACTACCTCGAATAAAACACACAGAGCAAAGGGGGGAAAGATGCCACCACCCTAAAAAAAAAAGAGCGAAATATTAGGACCCTATGAGCCAGCGTCAAGTAGCCCAATACACGGGCACGTGGAGTCCCGAGAGGAGGGAAGAGAAGGGGGAAATGCAAAATATTTGAAAAAAATAATGGCTGAAATTTTTCCAAATTCAATGAAAACTGCAAACTCTTAGACCCAAGAAACTCAACAAACCTCAAACACAAGAGACATGAAGCAAACCATACCAAGGCGCAAAATGATCAGATGGCTTAAACACAGCAGTAAAGAGAAAAAAAACAAAAAAACAAAGAACAGAGGAGAAAGATGAGGATGTATCAGATTTCTTGTCAGAAACAGGGCAAGCAAGAAGAGAGTGGAGCAACAACTTTAAAACTTCTTTTACTGAAAGAAAGAAATAGCTGTCAACCTAGAACCTGCACCCAGCAAATATAGCTTTTAAAAACCAAAGTGAAATTAAGACTTCTTTGGGCATATCCAAAAATACGCACTACAGGAAATGCTAGAGAATGGCCTTCAGACAGAAGGAAAGTGATTCCAGATGGTAATGTGGGCATACACCAAGGAATGAGGAGCAAGGGGAATGCTGGCCTCATGTGTAAATACATAATATTTTTCTTACTATTTAAATCTCTCGGAAAGATAATTGAGTGTACACCAACACTCATAGCAGCATTCACAGTTAGTTAAAGGTGGAAACAACCCAAATGTCCGTGGACGGATGAATAAAGAAAACGTGTATCAGGGGCACCTGGGTAGCTCAGTCAGTTAAAGCATCCGACTCTTGATTTCAGCTCAGGTTGTGAGCTTGGGGTCATGAGATGGAGCCCCCCGTCAGGCTCTGTGCTAGGCGTGGAGCCTGCTTGGGATTCTCTAAAAAAAGGAAGAAAGAATACATGTATCCAGGTAATAGGATACTCTTCAGCATAAAGAGGAAGGAAATACATGCCTACAGCATGGATGACCTTGAAGATATTATCTAGGTGAATAAGACACAAAAAGACAAATGCTGTCTTAACGTGAAGTACTAGATGAGTCACATTAATAGAGAAAGAAAGTAGATTGTTGGTGACCGGGGCAGGTATTACAACATTCTAAGGAAGAAGAGATCACCTCAATATAATATAGACTTTTTAACAAAATAGTGAGTAGCTTTAAAAAAAAAAATCAGAATGAAATAGGAAAGCTTGCTGATGGTTGGGTGGTTAACCAAGTGGAGTCTAATTCTGAACTGGCAGATCCAGAAACTTATAAGTGGATCTGGAGTTGATCAGATAATCAAGAGTGGCTTTTGTGGGCCAGAATCAGACATAAAACAGTATATGAGCCACAATGTCAATTTGTGAATTTCACAAAGGAATATACCATGCTAGTGAATTCTCATATCTACTCTCTAGGGTACTTCCTTTCTAGTATCAAGCTATGTGAGAAGTCAAATTAGTAATCAGAACAATCGAAAAGTGTTGAATGGTTTTGAGAATTATGTCATCTGCTTTAGAAAAGCCTGGTGTCTCTGATTCTGTCTTTCCAATGATGACAATTTGATGTCTGACAGCATGTCTCTCCCTGGATTCTGCTGGATAAAGGCTCAAAATTCTTAATCATGCTCCTGTGTTTCTAAATTCAATAAAAAATAATATTTCTTCACACTATAGCTTAGATTTTTTTTTATTTGAGTATAGTTGACACACAATGTTACATTAATTTTAAGTACAACATAGTGATTCAACAACTCTATACATTACACTGTGCTCACCAACTGTAGCTATAGCCGGTCACCATACTACACTGTTACAATATCATTGACTGTATTTCCTACGTTGTCCCTTTTATTCCCATGATGACTTCTTTCCATAACTGGAAGCCTGTTTCTCCCACACCCCTTTACTCATTTTGCCCATTCCCCTTACCCCCTTTCCCTCTGGCAACCTAGTTTGGGTTTTTTCTCTGTATTTACAGGTCCGATTCTGCTTTTTGTTTTTTTATTTATTTGTTGTTTTTTCAATTCCACATGTGAGTGAAATCATTGGTGGTTGTCTTTCTCAGTCTGACTTATTTCACTTCGCATAATACCTTCTAGGTTCATCCATGTTGTTGCAAATGGCAAGATCTCATTGTTTTTATGGCTGTGTGATATTCTATGTGTGTGTGTGTATGTATATATACACCACATCTTCCCTATCTCTTTATCTATTGATGGACTCTTAGATTGCTTCCATATTTTGACTATTGTAAATAATATTACAGTAAACACAGGGGAGGGGTGCAAATATCTTTTTAAATTAGTATTCTCATTTCCTTTGGGTTAATACCCAGTAGTAGAATTATTGGATCATATGGTATTTCTATTTTTAATTTTTTGAGGCATGTCCATACTGTTTTCCACAGTGGCTGCACCAAATTACATTCCCACAAACAGTGCATGAGGGTAACTTTTTCCCCACATCCTTGCCATTACTTGTTTTTTCTTGTCTTTGATTCTAACCATTCTGACAGTTGTAAGGTCATTGCAGTTCTGATTTGCATTTCCCTGATGATGAGTAATGTTGAGCATCTTTTCATGTGCCTGTTGGCCATCAACACATCTTTGGGAAAATGTCTGTTCAGGTCCTCTGCCCATTTTTCAATCAGATTGTTTGGGGTTTTTGGTGTTGAGTTTAGATAATGTCTTTTATAGAAATTTTTCAATCCCAAGCATGTGCCAAGGTAAACTTAATATAATTTCAGTAAAGCCCTCTTCTTTATGCCTTGATTCTTTTTTTTTAATTTTTTATTGTTATGTTAATCACCATACATTACATCATTAGTTTTTGATGTAGTGTTCCATGATTCATTGTTTGTGCATAACACCCAGTGCTCC